CTAAACATTAGAGTGAATAATTTGCAGAGATGTTGTAGCCTTGATACTGGTTTTGGAGAAAATTAATTTCCGACTTTTGAACAAATTATATGTTATACAAGAGGTTTTGGGGCTAACATTCTATAAACTAGAAACTATTACTTGTTGAATGTGATTGTGAGGATGCTCAAGTCGTTTGTGTCAAAGATTTAAAACATGCTGAACATATATAAGATCTAGGTCTGGAGGAGTGGTGGAGTTAATTGGCGGAAGTTGAATTGGGTACAAACCTTGAATGCAAGGCCCTTCAAGAACTTTATTGATTTGCACATCCTTAATTAATTAGCCATTAGTAGTAAAGGTAATAATACAAGAGTTTTTTTAGTATTTAACTTGTGAACTGAAAGTAGATTGTATGCTAAGTTAGGTACATGATGGATATTTGAAATTAAGAGCTTACGAGTGGGAGTAGGAAGCAACCCTTGACGAATGTGAGCAATAGGAAGTTGTTGGCTATTTCCTACGGATATAGAGATACCACTTTTATATTCTTGGATGTTGTGAAGTTGATTTGAGTTGACGATAAGTTGTTGGGTAGCACCGCCGTCCAAAATCCATTGCTGGTCTGAGTTGGATATAAAATCTGAAGTAAGAGTGATTGTGGGCTGATAGGTACGATCGTGTCTGTTCCAACATTTAAAAATGGAGTGCCCAACTTTGTTACATATTTGGCAGGTAATTTCCAATTTTTGGACAAATTACATGATATACAAGAGGTTTTTGGGCTAACATTTTGTAAATAAGAAGCTAGTACCTGCTGAATGTGATTGTGAGGATGCTTAAGTTGTCTGTGCCAAAAATTTGGAACATGTTGAACAGATATAAGCGCTAGGTCTGGTGGAGTCAATTGGAAGAAGTTGAATTGGGCACAAACCTTGAATGTAAGGCCCTTGAAGAAATCTGTTGGTTTGCACATCCTTAATTGAGTAGTCGTTCACATTAAAAGTAATAAGTCAAGAGTTTTTGAGTAGTTAACTTGTGAATTGAAAGTAGATTGCATGCTAAGTTAGGTACATGAGGGATATTTGAAAGTAAGAGCTTACGAGTGGGAGTAGGAGGCAACCCTTGACGAATGTAAGCAATAGGAAGTTGTTGGCCATTTTCTACATATACAAAGTTGTTACCCTTGTAGTCTTGGATGTTCTGAATCTGATTTGAGTTGGCGGTAAGATGTTGAGTAGCGCCGCTTTCCAATATACACTGTTGGTCTGAGTTGGATATAGCATCTAAGATAAGAGCAAGTGTGGGCTTAACTTTGTTGCATATTTGGCAAATAAGAAGTGATAGGTATGATCGTGCCTATTCCAACATTTAAAAATGAAGGGCCTAACTTTGTTGCATATTTGGCAAGTAAGGTCCAATTTTGGACAAAATACATGATATACCAGAGGTTTTGGGGTTACATTTTGTAAACAAGAAACTAGTACTTGGTGAATATGATTGTGTAGATGCTCAAGTTGTCTGTGCCAAAGATTTTGAACATGTTGAATAGGTTTAAGAGCTGGGTCTAGAGGAGTGGTGGAGTCAATTAGAGGAAGTTGTATTAGGTACAAACCTTGAATGCAAGGCCCTTCAAGAACTTTGTTGGTTTGCACATCCTTAATTGAGTAGTCGTTAGCATAATAATGCAAGAGTTTTTGAGTAGTTAACTTATGAACTAAAAGTAGATTGTATGCTAAGTTAGGTACATGATGGATATTTGAAAGTAAGAGCTTACGAGTGGGAGTAGGAAGCAACCCTTGACGAATGTGAGCAATAGGAAGTTTTTGGCCATTTCCTACGGATATAGAGCTATCACCCTTATAGTCTTGGATGTTGTGAAGCTGATTTGTGTTGACTGTAAGATGTTGAGTAGCTCCGCTGTCCAAGATCCAGTGTTGGTCTGAATTGGATATAGAATCTGAAATATGAGTGATTGTGGGCTGACATGTATGATCTGCCAATTCCAACATTTAAAAACGGAGTACCCAAATTTGTTACATTTTTGGCAAGTAATATTATTTTTGCGGCTGTCGGAGACATTCCAAAATCCATTTGGGGACTGCCCTTTGGATGGACCAAAGCGGTTCTTTTAAGAACCTAAATTCTACTGATGTCAGTTGGGAGGAGTAGTAGATTGGTTCTTGTTCCTGTTGCGTTTAGGAGCAACCAAAGTAGTAGTTTTATGTTGATGGATTCTGCCTAGGTGAGTTCCTCACTACTGTCGGTCAACTTATTTTTCGATTGATTAATTTTGTTGGAGATTTGTGAGGATGGAGGTTTTGAAGGCATGATAGGTGGAGGGCATTCCATTAAGAGTGTAACATACTATATCTTCAACATCAAGAAATACTCTAGTTGTGGCAAGAATATCTATTTTGTATTTGATGTTGGAATGTTATTGAGTCATGGTTCTATCACCTTTGAGATATTATGGATTTTTAAGTTGGAGAATGCGAGATCTATTGGAGGACTAAAGTCTTCGTTCAGTTGTGTGTCATATTTCTGTATAATTTTCAAGATTAGGGAGATGTGGTAGATTATATGGAGAGACAACAAAGTAGATGACATCGGTGAGATTTTGATCTATAAAGACTCATTTGCAAGAATCAGGATTGGGTATGTTAATTCCTGAAGAATCTTGGATGAAGTTGTTAGGACAACGACAAGAACCATCAAGAAATCCATCATTCCCATTTGCACAGAATAATTTCAGCAATTGTCCCTTCGAGATAGGATGATTGTCAGGGTAAGTGTCGCGGATACAACATTTTTAATATTGCCCAATAGGAATTTGAGTTGGGTAGTGATCGGGCAATCAGTTGGAAGGGAATTGCTTGAATTGTTGGCCATTTCAATGTTAATTGAAGAGTTTGAGTGGGTGCTCATGAGAAAAAAACAGCAGAGAATAAATGAAGAGGGAATGAAGTGGAGAAACTAGAGAAATACGTCTTCTGTAGATCTACCAGAAAGATGGGGCAAGCAGAGTTCTTGAAGGCAAGAATCATGGACAGCGAGCAGCCAACTGTAAAGGAGATGAGATGGAAGAGAATACACCTGTAGGAAGTACTCAATGGTGCAGTTCCCAGGAAGAAGAAAAACAAAGCGTGCCAAAATAGGAGAGAGGTTGCCGAGAGGTAGTTTGATCTGATACCGTAAAAGCAAATAAAAGAGAAGAGATAACAGTGGAAGAATGGAACAATTCAATATTAGATCCCATCCTAAAATGTACAAAGCGAGTCCTATTTATAGATTACAGCAGGTAAGAAAGGAAAAGACCAAACCACGCTAAGCAACAACAAAATAAACCGGACCGGTTCAATGTACAAGTGAACTGAACGAGAACACTAAATAGGTACATTAACATATCTAACATTTCAACTTCCAAATTTTAGCACGATCTAAAATTTGTTGGCTCTTCTATGCTTATTATTGCTAAAAAGGCATTCTACAACCATACTGACTTTGTTGCCATGTAATGCAAATATATTTTGCACTGTATTTTGTTATAAATATCATTGTAGAATTGCTGGAAATGAATATTGGATAAATTTAATTTCTTGAACAACCTTAAAAGTTTTAATACGATGCCCTATAGGGGTATCAACTGATATGCACTGTAACTTTTGCTGTGCTTTGCCCTCGTGGGATTCAGGTGTGTTAGGATTAGCCTTTTCTGCCCACTGGAATTTGTTTTTTCATCTTTTGTGCCAAAGTGTGCACGACCAAGAGTGACTCCCCCAATTAATGTATGGGTGAATTGCAGTGGTCCCGTTTGGTGCAAATGTCCTTAAATGAAGCTTTAAATTTTTACATTATTTATATCCTTTTTGCGTGAATTTCCTAGATGGAACACTCTTGGACATCACTGAGTTATGCTTTGTGCTAGCTCCGAACAAAATTGCAGTGGTCTCTCCCAATTAATGTATGGGTGAATTGCAGTGGTCCTGTTTGGTGCAAAAGTCCTTAAATGAAGCTTTAAATTTTTACATTATTTATATCCTTTTTGCGTGAATTTCCTAGATGGAACACTTTTGGACCTCACTGAGTTATGCTTTGTGCTAGTTCCGACAAAATTTTCTTTTCAAGAAGAAAATCTTGAAGAAATCTTTCGAACATTTGAAGTTTTTACTAATGGAGTAAACAATTTGAAATTACACTAGTTGAGGTGTCAACTGGTACGCACACTTTTGAGTTTGAATTTTGTTTTTGCTAAACCGTTGAATGCCTTTTATTTACAACCTTTTTGCAAGTTGCACCACTTTACACATTCATTTGCTTGAAAATTCTGATGTTTATGATACTGTTTTGTTTGGACAAGCTGAATAAATACTTTATTTGTTATTTGATGTGAGACTTCATCCTATGTTTAATGTGAAGTTTGAGGTACTTACTTTCCACCTATACCTCCAGAACATTTCTAGTAGAGTATTGCTTTCTTAATGTTGGTCGCACTCTCTACTAGCTCTTCAGTTGTTATCAAAGATAGTTAGAGAATTTTTTATGTTGATTGGAGATGTTCCACATTTTCATTCTCACAAATCTTCAAGATGGCAACTCGAGAAGCTATTTTCGAATGGAGTGTTGTTGTTGCAGACTTGTTTACAGTTAGAGATCCACAATTGATGCAGATAACATTGTTTTTTAAGTTATAGGCACAGAAACATTTCTTTTTGTTTTTGTTTAGATATTACGGAGGTTTAGAATTATATATGTTGATATTCTAAGATGGTTTAGCATGCGCTTAATAGAGCTCCTGCTTCTAATTGATTGGTTCTCTTTTACCACTAACAAAGACAACAACCTCTTAATCATGTTTAATTGTTGCATTAAATACTTCTTTAATTGCTGCATGTCTATCATAATCTTTGAGGTTTTAGCATAATCCTATAAAATAAAGTAAGATTGTAATTTAATTTGCATGGGAAACAACACTTCTTCATCGGACAGTCTTCAGTCTGTTTTCTTTTTTTGCTTAACAGATACAGTTTGTGCAAAGTTCGAAGATAACTCTAAATTCTACACTAGCAGAAGTTGCACTACAGGGATGTCCATCGAAGCACAAAAGACAATGGCATATCGAGCAAATGTATCCATTGCTCTCTTCATCTGCTGTGTTTCCTTGCCCAGTGCAGTATACAGCAGGGATACAGAGAAACTCCTTGCTCTTAGGTCTTCATTTATTGGAGAGAAACACCTCATTCCAAGCTGGTTTGATGACAAAAGGACACCATGCCAGTGGTTAGGTGTAAAATGCAGTAAACATGGAGATGTGGAAAAAATAGATTTATCTTCCACGGCTCTAAACCTTCCTATCCCCAGCTGTATCGGGCAATTCAGTTTTCTAATGCTTCTCAACTTGAGCAGCTGTGATCTCTTTGGTCAAATTCCAGAAACACTCGGGGATCTGTGGAATCTCCAGTATTTGGATCTAAGCAATAATCAGCTTTCTGGAGCTGTTCCTATTTCACTTGCCAACTTGACGAAGCTAATACAGTTATTACTTAGTTCGAACATGTTGCATGGAAGCTTGGGCCCCATCATTAGGCAGTCCAAAGATCTCAGAATACTCGGTATTTCTGGGAATGCTTTCTCTGGAAGCCTCCCCATGGAGTTGGGGAATCTACAGAAGCTTGAGGTTCTAGAGTTTAGCATGAACTCTTTTACTGGGAGTCTTCCAGAAAGCCTTGGGAATCTGACCCATCTCACAAACTTAGATGGAAGCCATAATGGGCTAACCGGAACAATATTTTCTGACCCTAGTTCTCTTTTCAACCTCAAGACACTGGACCTCTCTTATAACAGCTTTACAGGGCCTTTAAGTGCAGATGTTGGAAAGTTGACAAGTTTATTATCTTTATGGTTGGGTCCTAATGGCTTCAATGGCAGTATTCCAGAGGAAATTGGAAATCTGGAACAGCTAGAAACCTTTTCAATTCCAAGCTGCAAGTTCACAGGGAAAATTCCGAGGGAGATCTCCAAACTCAAGAACTTAATAGACCTGGACATATCTGACAACTTCTTTGAAGGGGGGCTGCCTCCAGGTATTGGGGAACTGACAAATCTTAATTATCTTGTTGCATCCCATGCTGGACTCACTGGGAAGATACCTGAGGAGTTGGGCAATCTAAAGAATCTGATGATACTGGATCTCTCCTTCAATCACTTGTATGGTCCATTGCCCGATAGTTTATCTGCGCTTGAATCCATCAACTCGTTCCTTGTCGATGATAACCATTTGTTTGGACGAATTCCTAGCTGGTTTTCAAATTGGAGCATGGCACGATTTATCAGTTTGGCGAAGAACGACTTCAGTGGGACTCTGCCTTCTTTAAGACTACATTACTTGACCTCATTCATAGCTGATGCAAACCATTTGTCAGGGGAGATCCCCACTGATATTTGTGAGGCTGAGCTGCTATCTCATTTTTCTCTTGCTGACAATGAGCTCACAGGAAGCATTGAGGAAACCTTCAGAGGATGTTCAAACCTGACTGATTTGATCTTGAACCGGAACAAGTTCTTTGGACAGGTTCCAGCTTATTTATCCCAGTTACCTCTAGTTACCCTAGAGCTTTCACACAACAACTTCTCTGGCTTACTTCCCTCACAATTGTTGCAATCTAAAACCATTGTTGAAATCTATCTATCTGAAAATCAGCTTGGTGGTAGGCTCCCAGAAAGCAGTGGGAGTTTATCTCCTCTTCGGAGGTTGCAGCTTGACAACAATTATTTTGAAGGAGTCATTCCAAAGTCATTTGGCAAATTAAGCAACTTAACTAATTTGTCACTCCATGGGAATAAACTATCTGGCGAGATCCCTATAGATCTCTTCAACTGTACTAACCTGGTAGAGCTTGACATTGGATCAAATAGATTGACTGGATCTATTCCTAAGGCCATATCTCAGCTGAAGCTTCTAGGTGATCTAGTGTTTTCCAACAACCTAATATCTGGTGAAATACCTGATGAAATCTGCGTTGGGTTTCAGCAGGCGCAGCACTCAGATTCTGAATTCAATCAGCATTATGGTGTCCTTGATCTATCTTATAATAATCTGAAAGGCCAGATCCCACAAACAATGAAGAACTGTGTTGAAGTAAGAGAGCTACAGTTGCAAGGAAACATGCTTGGTGGCACCATCCCTTCTGAGCTTAATGGCATGCTGAACCTTGCTGTCCTTGATCTTTCTTTCAATGCTCTTTCAGGTACATTATTGTCTGCACAGCTCTCTTTAAGGAATCTTCAGGGCCTACTTTTATCAAACAACCAGCTTGAGGGTCCAATTCCTGACAATCTTGGCTTGAGAATGCCAAGTTTAGTGAAACTTAACTTATCAAGCAATAGACTTTTTGGCCCTCTTCCTGAATCTCTTTTTGTTATCAAGAGTCTTACTCATTTGGACATTAGCCTAAATTTTCTCTTTGGGTTCATATCAGTTTTCCATTTCATTGGCGGTGGAGTTAGTTCGCTTGTTATATTCAATGCCAGCAATAATTTATTCTCTGGTGCCATACCAGAATCTATTTCAAACCTGACTTCTCTCGCAGTTCTCGATCTTCATAACAACAATTTCAATGGAAGCCTTCCATCTTTATTGTCCAGTCTCAATTCTCTCACTTATCTTGATGTCTCCAACAATAATCTCCAGGATGCCATCCCATGTAAGATTTGCAGCATAGTTGGGCTCTTATTTGTGAATTTCTCTGGCAATAAATTTGACAGTTTTGCACCAGAGAGCTGCAAAATGGCTCAGGCATGTGTTGGGAGTCACAGTATTTTAAAGCCATTGGCTGCGTACCCTTCTTCAAGAGCATTTGGCCGAGCTTTAGTTTGGAGTATTGTTGTTACCATTACATTTCTTTCTGTGCTCATTTTTTTTGCTGTTTTCAAATGGAGGAGACGATACCAAAGGAATTTGGCTATCACTCCTGCCAATAAGACCAATTCATCGGCTATTGAGCCAGCAGCATCCTCTGAGGAGCTTTTGAGCAAGCGATTAAAAGAGCCGGTCAGCATCAACATTGCCACTTTTGAGCATGCTTTGTTTCGCATCACTCTTGCCGATATCACGAAAGCAACCAATGACTTTAGTAAGTCTCATATCATTGGTGATGGTGGATTTGGCACTGTCTATAAGGCGTCTTTACCGGAGAATCGGGTGGTTGCAATCAAGAGGCTCAATGGAGGGAGACACTTTCAGGGTGACAGGGAGTTCCTGGCTGAGATGGAGACTATTGGAAAGGTGAAGCACAGAAACCTTGTCCCGTTACTTGGGTACTGCGTCTTTGGTGAGGAGAGGTTTCTAATCTATGAGTACATGGAAAATGGGAGCTTGGAGCAATGGTTTAGGAAACAGGCTGATACTGATGGAACTCTTGGTTGGTCAGTTAGGTTAAAGATCTGCTTAGGTGCAGCTCGAGGACTATCTTTCCTGCATCATGGTTTTGTCCCTCACATCATTCACCGGGACATGAAATCAAGCAACATTCTACTTGATCAATACTTCGAGCCGAGGGTTGCTGACTTTGGCCTCGCACGTATCATCAGTGCCTGTGAGACTCATGTAAGTACTGACCTTGCTGGGACCTTTGGGTACATCCCACCAGAGTATGGCTTAACAATGAAGGCAACAGCGAAGGGCGATGTTTACAGCTTTGGAGTTGTTTTGTTGGAGTTGTTGACAGGAAGATCTCCGACTGGCCAGGAAGAAGAGAAGGGGGGAGGTAATCTGGTGGAGTGGGTAAGGTGGATGGAGGGCCGTGGAATGGTTGATGAGATATTTGACCCTTCTCTTTTGGCCTTCGACTTATGGAAGGAGCAAATGGTGCGAGTTCTAAAGGTAGCCAAGATGTGTACCTCTGATGAGCCAGCCAAAAGGCCAACAATGGTTGAAGTTGTAAACCTTTTCAAGGAGATTCAGATGATGGATGGATGCGAATGATACAATTTTACGTATGTTTCCAACTTATCTTTTAAATGTATGTTTTTTTCTAAACCTAATGTATATCACTGTTTGGTTGTCCTTGCGTTAGAATTTATGGAAATGTCAATTTAGTCGCAGAATTTATTAAAGTGTCAATTTAGTCCCCAAACTATTTTAATATTGATTGAAATAGTCCCCAATGAGGACAATTAAAGCCCTCATTAAAAGAGTTTAGGGACTAATTTAGTACTTTTATAAATTTTGGAACTAAAATGACTCCTTGCAAATAATTAGTAGACTATTTTGACACTTTACTATATATATATATATATATATATATATATTAAATTGTCAAAATATATATATAGTTTGTATTGTTCAAAACTTCTAAATTAAAGCCAAACTTTTTTATTTATAAATTTGACAAGTGCTTCGAGTTTTAATAGCCAATTGCGTGTTAGTGGGAGGGCAGGGTAGTCTTTAAAAGACTAATTCAGTCGCTTCTTATCAAGAAAAAAAAAAGATGCCATATTTGATATGTTGCGTTTGCAATATTTGCTTGCTAAATTATACTGATCGAGTCGTGGTAATTCTTGTAGTCGAAATGCAACTTCACTATTTTTTTTATGTTTACAAAACTTCATAATGTAGAAATGTTGATTGCCTCAACTTGGTTAACACTGAAGAAACAAGCGAGAATTATTAGATGAATTGCCAAATTCCTTTGCATATTTAACTTGATAAATGTTAGATTGTTCTGGCCTTTTGGTAATTTTTCCCTAAATCTGTATCTGTATGGTTTCTTACTTTGCTAAGGTGGCTTTTGCATATACTTATCAGTTTATTTAAGTACATTTTATACTGTACCCTTACAAGATTCAATAATATGCTCTTCTTTTATTGATGGAATTTAGTTGCTCTGTCAACTTGGAGCAGTTATGTTGCACAACTTAAACAGCTTGGGCAAGTAACTGAAGAGGATGGAAGGAAAGATTTGTAGAAGAGCCCAAGGCAGCTCTATCAAGTTTGATCAGTGATGAACTGAGAATAGTGCTAGGATGGTCTCAAGGTCAGTCTTTTTTTTTTTTTCTTCTCTTTGTTGAAAATGACGATGACTTGGATCTGTGAAATATTTGTGCTTTTGGACCTATTTTGTATTCTGCACTTTGGTTTTTTAAGTTTAGCTCTCTTATATTTTAATTTTTTTATTTTTTTTGGTTATGTTTTAATTTTATTATTATTATTATTATTATTTTGGGTTAATCTTGTCATAGTATTGTAAAGGTTAGGGTTGTAAACGAGCCGAGCTTGAGCAAGCTCAGGCTTGGCTCATGTTCGAATTCGGCTCGTGTTCGAAATTGGATTGTGAACAGTGGATTTGTGTTCGACTCGATTTAAATATTTTTTTTCGTGTTTGGTTCGTGTTCGGCTCGAAATTGGCTCTTTAAAATTAATTGGAAAAAATAAATATAAAATATTGGATTTGAACCTGGACTAAACATATGCAAAAGAAAACACATAACCACATTACAGGAAGAGCTGCTATGGCTTAAACTTAGATATAAATATATATAATCTATTATTATATAAATAATCATATGATGTTATTATTTCGAGCTAAAACAAGCCGAACACGAGCGCACAAAGAGTTGTTCGTGTTTGGCTTATTTATAATTTGAGCTTAAAAAAAGTGTTCGTGTTCGACTCGTTTACTTAACGAACGAGCCGAACACAAGCTATTTAACGAGCTGAATCCGAGTTCTTCGAAAACAACGAGCTTTTTTGACAGCCCTAGTAAATGTATAGCTTATGTTATGTGTGCTTGCTGACAAGAGAGGAGGGGAAGCTGTAGGATTTTTCCAAGACAACTTAGGTTAAAAAAAAACCTTAGGTTTGATTTTTGCCCTTGGATCCAAATACAACTCTAAACAAAATATGAAATTTAAATGTTGACTATTTTTATCATACTAAAGTGTTATTGAGCTTCCATGAATATAGTTATTGAGGACCTGAAAATGGGATTTGTGTTGAGAGAGATTTTATTGTGCCATATGTTCAATATTAGATAGTCTTATCAGATAATTTTCTTTTTTTGCATGTTGTATCAATTTGCCCTGTAATTGTATTCATGCTCTGTATATTTTTCTATTTATCTTATATGTTGCATGCTCCATACTTCATTTCTGAATGAAATCAATCAATATTCACAGCACTTGACATGCATTGTTATTATACCATCTTGTAATAGCTTTTTCTGCTGAGAATTCCATTGGGATTTATTTGTTTTTTGCATGAACTCTTGATTTTAGAAATAATTAGATTCACTAACCAATTGCTTCCCGAAACCTTACAAATTGTATTTATCAACATCAAATGTAAATCAAAACTACAATTTTACAATTCCTGTTGTTTGAATAAACAATATGTGATATGTTTTGTAAGAGAATTGCCTTAAAAATTATTGAATTCACTTTAAGATTAATGTAATGTATTAATGTCAAAATAAATTCACCTGACCTTCAACTCAAATAACTCAAATCAATTTTGAATCAAGTATGAGTCGGATTCGAGCTGGCAGGTTAATTGAACTTGACTTTAAAAATTAATCGTGTTAACTCGAGCTAAATTTTTTTTTAAGGGCTTCTGCTCAAGTTGTATTGTCGGATCAATTCTTTTGACATATCTGCTAATGAAGATGCTGAATCTCATGCTCATTAAATTTGATATCATTCTTCATTCATTGGTGCTTAATTAAATTAAAATAGTGGCTTCATAAATGGATGAGAAGCCATAATTACGTTATAGTTGCTTGGTGTGAATTCTAAGGCAAGGAATTTGTTGATTAAAGTGGAATAGGATGGGTTGGTTCTGGGTTGAATGATGATCAAAAGGTGCATTCATCTTCTTCCTGTTGAACTAAGATTTCTTGTTTTGGGGGATTGCTCAAGGCTGCAAATGAGTTCGGGCATATAAATAATGGTTGGATGTTTGGGCAAGAGGTGAAATAGGTTGTTAGATCCTTTGCATACACATCTAACATTTTGCTCAAGGCTGCAATGTAAACTTCAATTTTTACATTGAATCCGTCCAAATCTTTCATATCACATTTTATCTTATAAAAAGTGAAATACTCCTTTGTGGTTATGCACATTTAATATAACATCATATCTCTCTAAAAGAATACAAGCTATGGACGACATACAAACTCAACATTGATTTTATAAACAATTTGTGAGGAGTTAATATGATGGAATGTCTCTTTGTAAATCACAGACATTGTTGTTTATAGCAATGATGTTGGATTTAGATTATATGTATAGTTGCTATTGATCAACTAACTATTATTAAAAGAAAAGTATACAATCATGTAAAATACGAATATCAGGTTTAGATGTTCTACATAACTATGTATTTTTGGTATCATGTCTTATCTCTAAGAATAAATATATAGATATGCAAATCGCCTAAATTGGTATTGTATGTAATTATGTGTGATTAAGACAAGGGAATATTTCTAAGAAGAATGTAGGCATAAAAATGCGTACTTCATTCAAAAGCAATAAGTGGTGTTTATATATAGTTTTGTATAATATTAATTAACATTGGATTCGAGTGATATATGTAATGGTCTACTTGTAATATAATGAACTAGCTATAAGCTCTGAGTTATGAATGTTACTCATATTGAGTTTAGATGTTGTACATAACTTGTATTGATAATTGGATGGATTATATCTTAATTAAATACAAATACATAAATCTATAAAAAAAACTTATATTGAGTTGGGTAATGAAAATGGATTGTCTTGCTAATATCTTTGCTTAAATCTCATTAAAACACAACTACATAATTATGACCATCTACATTTTTTTTGTGCGGTTGCTAACTATTGTCACGGACAAATAGTCCCACATTGGCTAGGTGTAGGGCCGAAAAGCAGTATTTAAGTCCTGGACTGCCCACCACCCATAAGGACTCTTTACTCTTTTGGGAGGTGTGGAGCCGATCCGTGACGAGGGCGTCACGTGATTGGGTGGAGGAGAATGTCACGGACAAATAGTCCCACATTGGCTAGGTGTAGGGCCGAAAAGCAGTATTTAAGTCCTGGACTGCCCACCACCCATAAGGACTCTTTTGGGAGGTGACAGGTTGCTAACTATATATTGGTCAATATTGATCTATTTAACAATTATTAGAACCATGAATAAAAACTATCATTTGGTAGAGATTCTCTAGATATTAGAACCATGAATCAAAATTAATCACAAATTCCTCCTCAAACAATAGCCCACATCAGAAAAGGCAACAACAACTCACATGAGAAAAAGTAACAACAGCCCCCGTCAGAAAAGATAGCAACAGTCCACCTCAAAAAAGATAGCAACAAACAACTGAAATGGCAACAACATCCCATGCCACAAAAAGCAACAACGACCTATGTTGCCCAAGCAACCACAACTTGAAAAGGGAAGTCAATAACAAACTAGAAGAGATTTCAATTCAGGGAGGAGTGGTGTGGTTTCTTCCTCCTTAAAGGTTCTATTTATAGGGAAACATTCAAAAAAAAAAGATGGTAAATTCAAATTTTTGGGGTTTTGCTCAATAAATGATCATGTAGGAACGCATGCGGACACACAATCACATTGTTTTGTTTGCTGGAAGCGGGAAGAGTTCCTCAGCTGCGTTGACCATCTCCACATCACCTCATGTTTGTACCGATGCTCCCCACATATGTGCATGTGCTAATGGTGTTTGCGCTACACACTCACATGCACTCCCACTAGCACTGTAGAGCGTTCCCCCGATGTCATCGCCATTGTCGCACACGACCTATTATCACTACTGCATGTTCACGCCTTGTGTGCATGCTCTTGCAGGTCCCTGATGCTAGTTTTGTACATGACCACACATAGTAACGTGATCACAGGCTCAATCACCATCTCATCTTTCTGCCTCTACACACACCACTATTCCTCTGGCTAATCATGTTTTTATTACATAAGCACCATTGTTCGACCACCACAGTCACTACCGTTGGATCACCGTCGTATGGCTGCCGCGAGCTTTGGGTCAAACCATTACCATCAAGTCACCGATGCTTGACCATCACCGCCATTTTTGTATCACATCTGACCAACTCATCCAAACCACTACGGCTTGGTTGGCTCCACTACTAGCAGTGATAACAACATGATCAAAACTTTATAGCGCTTCTATGTTAACTCAAATCTCTAAAAGTATGAATTATTGAAACTTCTAAAGTTATGTTGAAGACTTTAATAGTGATATCTACATATTTTCCGGCCACAAAAATAACATCATCCGAAAATATGGAGTCAACTAATATGTCATCAAAAAAATTTTTATCATCAATAACAAATCTTGATGCATTTTTGGTAAGAAATCTTCCAAACTCAAATTTAGAATTTTTCAAGCTCAAATTCCAACAAGTTTACAGTCAAACTGATCATATCGACAAGACGAACCCAATGAAACAAAAATTGATTCAATCTAAGTTCAATCAAGCCCAAATCAAGCCATTGAGGCATATTTAGAGGCTTTGGATTGTCAATTAAATGGTCAATGAACTTCAAATGTGACATATTATTGTCTAGTAAAGTGGCTGGATGAGAAAAATCCAACAAGCCTAAGATTGGTAAATTTTGAGATCATTAAGGCATCTAAACCTTCAAAACTCACTTGTAATTAAGAGAAATATATGTGGACCGTCTGATCGGGTGGTTGGGGAAGTTATGCACAAAAATACTGAAATGCATCCACATAAAAACCTATAAATAGACCCATTCTCTGGGGTTATAAATGAACAAATGCAATCGATAAATAGATTCAACTCAACTCGATTAATACTCTATCATGATTGTTCAGTTTAGTAAATAAATAAATTTGAAAAATTTTTCAAATTTTGAAGTTTAAATGAATCAAATTTGAACATAGTCAAACTAGTCTGTTAATATTCATGAACAAACTTGTCTCTTAACTCACTTATAAAATGCTCCATATTTATATAATATAAAATTTAAATAATTATTTATTAATTTAAACTTATTTAATAATATATTTGATAATAACATATTATAATTTAATATCAATAAGCACATAAATTTGATGTAATTTCCTTTTTTAATGAACTCATGGACCGTTTGATCGGGTGGTTGGG